CATTACGCTTACTCTCTAGATGTTAGGAGGAGGAGGAGGAGGAGGAGGAGGAGGAGGAGGTGCGTGAGAAGAAGCAGTGAGAACTGAGCAGTTGCTAGGAGAAGAAGCTATCAAGGATTAAGAGCATGAGAAGGAGCTACGGCAGGATCTAGGCGAAAAGAAGTAGACACAATAGACATGATTCCTTCCATAAAGGCGATGGAGATGGTACAGTAGTCGATCACAATGGGCAAGAGAAGTCGTGAGTGTCTTGAAGGCATCAATATTCCTCTTCAGCTCGTCCTAGTACATGGAAAGCCCTCCTCCCCCCCTCCCCTCTTCATTATCTGTGTCGGAACCATGATAGAAACGAGAAGGTCGGATTGCAGTACTTAGGTGGATCAGAACATGCTGATGGTAGTCGCTGTTTTCAACTTGATGAAATCGCCCCATGTCTGCAAGACCCGATGGGTCGAAGATGAGCATGCTGCGAAGGAGAGACAAGACGTCATAGTATGCGCACGTTGCGGGAGAAGTAGGCAGCTGGGCTCGGAAGGAAGGGCCGGGTTGAGGGCAGCAGCTGAATCAGCCACTCAGTCAGCTCAAAGGGATGAGGCTGGAGGAAGGAATGAGAAGAGCAGGCAGGGAGGGAGACGGATGTGAGGAGGAACAGGAAGGGCAGAGTTGGCGGACAGTGAGGGCAGTCCGACAGCAAGATCGAGCAAGGGGAGGGTCGCGGTTGCTCACAGTATGTAGCGCCGGCTGAAGTAGCGCCGGCGATGAGAGTAGGAAGGAGCCTGCCGCGTGCGATCGATGTGGGGGAAGGAGGAAGATGAAGTTTCAGTTCTCTTGAGAGCTACGTGTTACACGTGCCCAAGTCCGATCCGATGATCCGCAGTACTAGAACTGCTCACTATGGTAATAAAGTAGGCTTCAGAGGACCTGATTCACATGACACGCGACTGATTCGGAATGTTTCCGATCATCGAGTGTTGTACGGTAAATCCTGCCAATCATTCGAACTCGGAACCAAATTTCCGACCGGCGGAATTCAACAGTTCTCACTCAGCCAGTGCACGCCGGCCCGGGCCGGCCCGCACCCCCGGCGCGGCAGGATAAGGGTTCATTGTCCTCGTACTGATTTTTCACTTAACTTTGAGTAAGGGTTCACCGTCACGGTGCCACCTCTACTCTCCTGATTGATCGAAGGCCGCACATCGGGGACTTCTCAGTTTTGATCTCTTGAGGGGAACCGGCTCGGGCCGCCGCCGGGCCGGGCGGAGGGGGGAGGGGGGGCGGCAGGGCGGCGGTGGCCCGGCAGCACTATAACTAGAGCCAGCCGGGCCCTAGTTACAGGGCGGTTATACGGTTACTAACAGTTAGCGGGTAGGGTTTGGGCGCTATGGAAGAGAGAAGATTGCGGGTCATGGCGTCGGAGAGGAGGAGGGAGGAGGAGGCGAAGGATAGAGAGAAGAAAGCGAGAAGGAAGTAGCTGATAGGTAAGGATGGGAGATACTGAGCCTCGCGCTTGAGTCACACACAGCTGCTCAGGTAGGAGAAGAAATTAACGATGCTCAACGGGATGGCTCCAAGAAGGCTTGAGTCGACGAGGAGTATCAGAAGCATACGAAGCAAGGATGGGAAGGGGCGGCAGAAGGAAGCATACACCCTGGGAGCCATCCTCTCTCACCTGAGAACAAGGATCTTGTCACTGGTGGGGGAGGAAAGCGTGCATGAAGTGGACGAGATGCTAAACAAGGAGAAGGTGATGAAAGAAGTCGAAGAGTTTGCGAGGGAGGGAGGCAAGTCGAAGCTTGTGTTCTTCTTGCAAGCAGACAGTCAAGAGGCCGAGGATGGCGCTGCTGCCAAGCCAAGGATCTTCCTTGTAGACCCACAAGAGAGTGTTCTCGTGGACAGGTGTATTTTCTTCTTGAAGCGCAAGTCGGACAGCATCAACGCAGACACTTTCGAAGAAGATGTCATGGTCGGAGACTTCTGCACCCCATTGCTTGACAGCATCTCCCTCCTCCTCTCCGAGGTTCACAGCCCGATTCTGCACGAGAAGAGCTACGACTGGAAGGGGATCGGAAAGGAGACGGTGTACACGTGCCTGAGCTGCGTCGACCAGCTCATGAACCAGGTGAACGAGGAGATGAGCACCATGTACGGGGGGGTGAGCCTCGAGCCGGTGGAGGATTGGATCATGGAGGACCCCCGGGCCGCCGAGGGCTTGTACAACAAGATGGCGCTGGACGACGAGGTGTTGGGGTACATGGAGCTGGTTCTGGAGCAGTGGTGCATTCAGGTACACACGGTCTTGCACGAGAACGAGATCAACCGAGTGATGTCGCTCGGCCCGCGATCAGAAACAACATGGTGGCGCAAAAGATCCACAAAGTTGTTCAAGATCATGGAGCAGCTCAAGGGTAGCCAGGCGAAGCTTGTGCTGGGGGTGTGCACGGCAGCCAAGTCCAAGGGTGTGAAGCGTTGGAGACAACTGGATGAACAGATGACAGATGCAATGAATGATGCAAAAGACAACGTCCGGTTGCTCTCAGACATTGATCTCTTGCTGGAACCCTTCTACTCTGGCGATCTATCGCAGGTGAAGCTAGCTCTGCCGGATCTGTTTGCAAGGCTGAAGATGATATGCTCTGTGTCGAAGTACTACAACACTCGGAGACGAAGCACTCGTCTGTTGTTCAAGGTCGGACATCAACTGATACAGATATCTCGTAAAACTCTGCATGATGGAGGGAAGATTCTCGAGCTTGAACCTGACAAGGCGTTGGAGAGTGTGAGAACAGCCTTAGAGCTCTGCAGACGGTATGAAGAACATGTCGGCAACCTCCGGGAAAGACTGCTCTCGCAGAAAGGAAAGAGTTTGAACATCAAGAATGAAGATGTAATGGAAGAAGTAGCTCAGTTCATCACACGGCTCGAGGCGGTCGAGGTGATCCTGGAGACTATCCATCAGTTTTCAACGCTTAAACGAGCCCCGATAGACGGACTCGATGTGATCAAGCTGGCATTTGACGAAGTGCTAGCCCTGTTAAGATCCAAACCTTACGACATCCTTGATCACTCAGTGACCAAGTTTGAAGAAGACTTCCACGAATTTCAAGAAAGAATATCAGCCATCGAAGTCTCAATACGTGACTTCATAGAAGTTTCCTTCGATGAAATCCCCAGCATCGAATCTGCTCTGGACCTGCTCTCCAAGCTTGAATCGATCCTACAACGGGACTCATTCAAGGTGCACCTCGAAGACAAGTACAACCTGATCTTCTACCATTACGGTCAGAAGCTGGAGAGCATTCAAGAGATGTACGACAAACTGAAATCGAATCCTCCCCACCTAAGGAATGTTCCGACTGTTCCCGGCAACGTCCTGTGGGTGCGACATCTGCTGTACATGGTGGAGGATCCAATGAAAAGGTTCAAATGCAGTAAAGTCATCATGACGGCACCAGAGTCGAAGAAGATCATCCGCTTGTTCAACCGGGTCGCCAAGACTCTCATCGAGTACGAGACTCTCTGGCTGCAAGCTTGGTTCAAGTCCATCGAGCAGTCCAAGATTGGTCTGCAAGCCACCTTGCTTGTTCAGCACCCTGTCGACTCTCGACTTTGCGTCAACTTCGACCCAGCAGTCACCCAGCTGATCCGAGAAGGTAAAATCTTACGTCGTCTCGGGATCAAGTTGCCCACCTCAGCTCTCAATATTCTCCAGCAGGAGTCCAAGTTCAAGAGCTACTACGACAGCCTTAACAACTTCCTCAGCGAATATTACAAGTTCCTCAACCGCATCCCCAAGAGCGTCCAGCCGCTGCTGGAGTCTCACCTGCAGGAGATGGAGCTGGTGATCCGACCGGGCCTCGTCTCTCTGACTTGGCAGTCGATGAACATCGACGGTTACCTCGTCCGCATGCACAGCTTGCTGCTCAAGCTGAGTGTCCTCTTGCAAGGAGTTTCAGACGTGTTGGACCTCCGTGTCGCCAAGAACCTCAGTTTCATCCGAAACATGTCTCTCATTCGCTTTCCTGAAGAAGGCAAATTTTCTATCGACGAGTTCATAACGTTGCAGAAGCAAGAGCTGCAGAAGTATGCAAGCTTTCTACAGGGGAAACGGTCAGAGGTGCTAGAGAGCCTGCATGAAGTCATAGACAAGATCAGACATTTCTCATCTGAGTTTGGCAACGAGTGGACCATTCTTCCGGATCGCATAGAAGATTTCATGCAGTTTCACTGTAACTCATTCTATCACTCAATCTTGTGTTCTGTTCGAAGATCTTTCAACGATATCAAGAGGCGACTGGGGTCGAGGGTGCATGCGTCATTCCTGTTTCTAGAGAGACCTTTCTTCAACCTCGATGTTGAGCTCTCCATTCCCAGCATCGTCGCTCAACCTTCACTCAGTATAGTTCAAGATGCGATCAATGAAACCGGGAGGTTGGTTCTACGAGCTACCAAGTCGTTGAAAGTGATTGCGAGCTCCTCGAGCAACAACAAGAGTGAGACTTACTATGATAGAATAGCAGCAGATCGCGTCATCGTGCAATCGGTATTGCTCCTTGCTGGCAGCGTGGAGGGATCGAGGAGGACTGTGTTGGAGTACCTGCAGGGCTTTCAACGATTTCAGTTCCTGTGGGTGGAGGACAAGCTCGCTGCCTACTCGAGTTTCGTCAAGTCGAAGCCAGACCTCTTCCACTATGAGGAACAGTTCATGAAGTTCTCGCGAATAGAAGCCGACATCAAGGCCATCGCTCCCATGCACAACATCGGCTGCATCAGCCTCCGCACCCAATCCCTCAAGTACTCTCTCATCGCCGAGACCTTGGCGTGGAAGTCCATGTTTGCCAGGAAGCTGCACGCCAAGGCCAAGGAGGAGATGGACTCGCTGGTATCCTTCATTAACACCAACGTGGAATGGCTCAGCAAGGAAGTCTCGACCATCGAAGACGTCGGCATGTCCCTGCAGTGGCTCCGCGATCTTCAAAGCAAAGAGAGTGACATCGAACAACAGATCGTTCCAATCGAGAACATGTACAATATCTTAACCAAGCACGAAGTCAGGATACCCAAGGAAGAGGCAGAGACTTTGATGAATTTGAGAAAGATGTGGGATAGAGCCATTGAAATGGGCCATGAAAGAAGCTCCAGGTTGTCAAGCTTACAAGCAGGCTTCCGTCGAGAAATAGTCAAGTCTGTGAAATCGTTTTCTCTCGAAGTGATTCAGTTCTGCAATGATTACGATATGAACGGGCCGATGCTCGCAGGCCTAGCAAATGCAGAGGCCATGGAGCGTTTAAAGAAGTATCAGGTGTTGTACAGCGAGAAGGAGGCGAGGATGAGGTCCTTGCAAGAGAGGGAGGAGATGTTTGGGTTGAACGTGACGTTCTACAAGGATCTTGACAGAGTGCGGCAAGAGATCGAGCTCTTCAACTCTCTTTACACCTTGAACGCGAGGGTCGAGGAGCACATCTCCCACTTCTCCGAGAGCCTCTGGAACGAGGTGCAGGGTCAGATCCCCTTTCTCGAGTCTTCGCTCGAGAGCTTCGCGCACGAGCTCGAGAGCCTCCCGGCCATCCTCCGCGACTGGTCCGCGTACAAGAGCCTCAGGTCGACCATTCGTGACACCCTGGCGGCCGTTCCCGTCCTTTCCCTCCTTAGCCATCGGGCCATCCAGAGGCGGCATTGGGTACAGATCATGAACACAGGGGGACAGCAGGTGCTGCTTGCTCACTTGTGGGCTGACGACTCACTGACGGAGCCTCGCAGGTCAGCCTGTGGAACCTAGACCCGGGCTCGATGAAGCTGAAGCAGATACTGAACCTAAACTTGACTTCCATCCAGGGAGACATCGACGACATTTGTGAGAGCGCGAAGAAGGAGCAGGAGATGGAGGACAAGGTCTCGTCGCTGAGCGAGCAGTGGAATGACAGGCAGCTCCTGTTCTCCGACTACAACGGGGGAAAGTCCTCGATCCTCGACCCTCACGGGATAACCGAGCTGATGGAGACTCTCGACGTGTCCATCAACGACCTGCTGGCTATCTCCGGCTCCAAGACGGCTGAGGCGATCTCGGAAGACATCGAGACATGGCTAGCGAAGCTGTCGGAGGTATCGGAGGTGATGGAGATGTGGAACCACGCGCAGTCCATGTGGATTCATATGGAGCCCATCTTCTCCGACGGGAACATCTCCTTGGAGCTGCCCAATGATGCGAAACGATTCGCTAAGATCGATCTCAACTACTCGCGGCTCATGTCTAGGGCCCTTCACAACAGGAACGTGGTCAACTCCTGCACATCAGACCATCAGATCAAGAGCTTGCTGCCGCACCTGACGGAACAGCTCGAACAGTGCCAGAAGTCTCTCGTCAACTTTCTCGAGAGAAAGCGCGACGCTTTCCCGCGCTTCTTCTTTGTTTCCGACAATATCCTCCTCACGCTCTTGAGCGAACAAGAAAGCTCCTCATCTCTCGAGCAAAACCTGTCGACGATGTTCTGCGGCATCAGAGGGTTTGTGAGCGAGGGATCGGAGAGCGGGGGGAGGGAGATAACGGGGGTGATCTCAAGGAATGTTTCGGACGAGGAGAGCGTGCTGTTGTCAAACCCCGTCAGTCACAACTCAAAGTTCGAGCTGCTGCTCCGAGACGTCTTGTCCGAGACGCAGGTCAGTCTGAGGCAGGCCGTCCACTCAGCCATCAAGAAGGGAGTTGCGTACGTCCTGTCTGACCTCCTCGACAACTTCCAGGATCAGGTCTGCACTCTAGCACTGCACGTTCACTGGACTCAGGACACGATACATGCCTTGTCTCGGGCTAAGACCGAGAAGAACCTGATGAACGCGGCCAACAAGCGGAACGTGAACAACGTCGTTGAGCTCACGAAGTTGCTCAACTCAAGCTTGACAAGCCTGCTGAGGGTGAAGGTCCAGAACCTCCTGCTGCTGCAGTTGTACCTCAAGACCTGCTTCGAAGAGATGTTCAACCTCAAGGTCTCGAGCCCCGACGACTTCTTGTTCCTCCGGCATGTGAACGTCTTCTTCATGTCCAGCGATGAAGCCCTGGACGTGAGCATCGCTGGGATCAGATTGAGGTACGGGAACGAATACCTGGGACTCAACAACCGGGTGGTCGTGACGCCGACGACTGATCGATGCTTCGTCTCCTTCTGCCTCTGCCTCTCATCCCTCAGCTGCAATCACTTTGTGGGGGCAGCAGGATCGGGGAAGAAGACCACCATCAGGGAGTTTGCTCGCTTCTGCGGGAGGTTCTTCGTCTTCTTCAACTGCAGCGAGCTAGTGGACATCAGCTACATGGAAAGGTGCTTCAAGGGCGTGCTCAAGAGCGGCTCCTACGGCTGTCTCTTGCACATCGACAAGACCCTGGCCAGTGTGCTCTCAGTCAGCTCCCAGTATCTCTTCGACTTCCTCCAAACTTTCAGGGCCCGGCAAGCCTTGTCCCTAGAGGACAGCCTTGCGGGAGCCAAGAAGCAACCTGATGCCGCCATGTTCTTCACGTCGGCCGTGCTGCCGGGGGGGGCGAGCCTCCCGCACGTCTTGCCGTCCCTTCAGCATCACCTGCGGACATTCATGGCCGTCAGCCCCGACAAGCAGGGGATCCTCGACGTGAAGCTTGCCTCGCTGGGGGTCGAAGAGCATCTGAAGCTCGCAAGGAAGCTGAATGTGCTGTCTGACTTGTTCCCTTGCGTCATCAACAGAGTTGAGTATGTGCCGATCATCAGCATGCGCAACCTGATTGCAATCTGCAACAAGGTCGGCAAGTTCAAGCAGGAGGGTCTCCACAGGAGCGACACCATCTCGCTGCTGGTTGCGATCAAAGAGAATGTTCTGTCGTGTCTGCACACGTCAGACAAGATGCTGGTGATGGGCTTGCTGGCTGACTTGTTCCCCGGTCAAGAAGTGGACGTGCCGTACAGTCAAGACCTGCTGCAACTCAAGGACGGGATTGTGAACCATCTCACCAAGGAGAAGATGGACAAGCAGCCTCTCTGGATAGAGAAGATCCTCAACATCTACGACGGGATCTCAACTCGTCTCGGTGTGGTGGTGATCGGTCAGTCTGGCCTCGGAAAGACTTCCATGATATCAACTCTTGCGCAAGTCCTCTCAAACCAGGAGAACCCGCACAAGGTTGCCATCCAGCGAATGTTCAGCAAGAGCCAGGACGTGTCGCAAATGTTTGGACACTTCTGCCCCTCCACCGGCAAGTGGCTGGACGGGACCTTCTCCTTCCTCTGGAAGAGATCGACCTACCAGAACGGCTTCAACACTTGGATCTGCCTTGACGGATCCATCGACGACTCGTGGGTCGAGCAGCTGGGCTCTACCCTGAGCGGCTTCCAGGTGTTGAACCTGTCCAACGGAGATCGCATTCCTGCCAAGGTCGGGACCAACTTGATCTTCGAGACAGACAGCCTGCAGAACGCCTCTCCTTCCTTCCTCTCCTCGACCTGTGTCGCCTACGTGTCTTCGTCTGCCCTGCCTTGGCGCTCTGTCGTGAACAAGTGGATAGAGGAAAGGAACACAGACGAGAGGACGCTGCTCCGATCACTCTTCGACAGGTCCTGCCCTTCCTCCCTCCCTCCTCCATCTCGCTCTTGCTCGCTCTCTCTTCCTCTTTTTCTCCTTCACTCAGAATCTCAGTCCATTCTCTCCTGCTCGCTTACCCGCACGTTCGCAGGTACTTGGATCAGGTCCTCCACTTCTTCAAGATGCAGTGCTCCAGGACTATGGTCACGTTTGACAACTACGTTCCCCTCGCCATCACCCGCTACTTTGACTGCGCTTGCAAGTACCTTGACTTCCGTTGGGACTCCAGCGGCGAGCCGTTCCTCGAGAAGGTCTTCATCTTCTGCTTGTGCTGGGCGTTCGGAGGTGTCATGGAGCCTGGGGATCGAGTCAAGTTCGGTCAGTTCCTGCACACCATGACTGACCTGCTCCCGACGGTTCCGTTCGGCGACACCCTCTTCGACTTCTTTCCTGATGACAACAGGATGGACTGGGAGCACTGGAAGACGAGGGTGAAGGAGTGGAACTATCAGAAGCTTGTCCTGCAGGAGCTCTTCGTGCCCTCGATCGAGACAGTCCGCAGCGACTACCTCCTCAAGTTCCTCAGCACCAAGAAGATGAACGTCCTGATCACGGGGACCCCAGGCTGTGGCAAGTCTACCCTGATGCAGCGATACCTGTCCAGCCACGACAGCGACAAGTTCATATGGAGTTACATGTCGCTATGTCCGAGCTCGACGGTCGAGTCCTTGCTTGAATCTCTTCACTTCATCATCGAGAAGAAGCAGGGGCGCACCTACCTGCCTGAGAACGGCAAGGCCTGCACCGTCTTCGTCGACGACATCAGCTTGACTCCTGTCGACCCCTGGGGCGAGCAGAAGCTGTGCGAGCTGCTGCGGCAGCTGATGATAGACAACGGGTACTACAGCCATGAGCTGCCGAGCGAGTGGCGGACATTGATCGGGATCAACTACCTGGCAGCCATGAGCCACCCAGCACACACTCAGAAAGACATCTCAGTGAGGATGAAAGCTCAATTCGTTGCGATGAGTCTGGGGTCGACGAGTGACACGTCAGTCAACCAGATCTACTCTAGAGTCTTGGAGCGAGTCTACAAGAAGCGCAAGGCCAGGGATGAGCTGCTGGCGATCGCCAAGAAACTCCCGGAGATGACAAGTAGCCTACTGCAGCACGTGCGATCCAACCTGATAGTGAGGAACAAGAACCCCCTGCACACCTTCAACTTCCACGACATGATCGCCATCTTCACGGGAGTGCTCAGATGTCACCCTGAAGACATGGAGTCTTGCAACGTGCTCGTCAGGCTGTGGCAGCATGAGTGTGAGAGGACGTTGAAGGACAAGCTCGAGGATGAGCATGAGAGAGACATCGTTGCTGCGGGAGTCAAGTCCGTGCTTGACACCTTCAGCATGTCGAGTCACCTCAAAGACGGCTCGACCAGCGGCGAACACTGCTTGTTCGGGGTGTTGGGCAACGGGAAGCGCTCTTACTGTCACGTCTCTGACATGGAGAAGCTGACGGAGGACGTGGAGATGTGCATGGAGGCCAACGGGTTCAGTCGCGAGCTCTTCGATGACGTCATCAATCAGATGCTGAGGATCGCGCGAGCCATCGGAATACCCCGCAAGTCGATCATGCTCGTCAGTCTGCCTGGGTCAGGGAGGAAGTGGATTTCTAGGCTGGCAGCTCGCATGTTGTCATCGGACGTGGTCGAGGTGGACTCGACTCACAACTTGGAGGAGACGATCTTGACCTGCTACAAGACAGCCGGCCTGGAGGCGAAGCCCGTGACAGTGATAGTTGAAGATGCTGTGTTCGGGGACACGATGTGTTCTGAGACGTTGAACCAGCTGTTGAGCCATGGGAGGTATCCTTCACGGATCTCGAGGGTTGAACTTCAGAACTTCTCCGAGCTGATCCAGAAGGCGATAAAGAATGAGAGCCATACCCTCTTCTCCAACCGCCAGCTCCTTCGCATGCTCGAGTGCAGAGCCTGGGACAACTTGCACCTGGTCTTCTGCTTCGACCAGTACGAAAGGCTCCTGAAAGCTTGCAACGAGGTTCCTGCCATCCCCAAGTCGTGCTACGTTGACGTCTTCCTTCCTTGGAAGCCCGAGACCGCCCGGCAGGTCGCCTTTTCTCAGCTCAGAGATCTCCAGCTTGACTTCCAGGCCGACCCGGAGGTGATCTCAGCCTACGTGGCTGGTGCCCACACGCTGGTGCTGAGGAAGTCGAAGGAGTACGAGAAGAAGGTGAGGAGGGAGCTGCACGTGGGGCCCGGGCTGTTCCTATCGTACCTCGACACCTTCAAGCGGATCTTCCGCAACCAGGTTCAGTTCATGTCCAAGAAGATGGAGAGGACGCACGGAACCCTCAAGAAGCTCAGAGACGCGGGGTTTCACGTCGCCGAGCTCAAGAGCAGGCTCAAGGACCGCAGCATGGAGCTTGCGGACGCGCAGGCAGAGTCTGCGGGGATGCTGCAGGATATCAGCGACATAGTGAAGCAGGCGGAGAGGATGAAGGCGACGCTCATGACGGCCAAGAACCGTCTGGCCGAGCAGTCGCAGATGCTGCAGCAGGAGCGGGAGGGCCTCCAGAAGGACTTGGACTACGCCACCCCCTTCATCTCCGAGGCCTTCGAAGCCGCAAAGTCCATCCCCCCCGAGGAGGTGAAGTCGCTGGCGGGAAACAAGAACCCTCCTTTCACCACCCGCCTCATCTTCGATACCGTCCTCATCGCCCTCGCACGGCCTCTGAGGCCCGTGGAAGTGATTGACGGGAAGCTCTATCGGGACTCGTACCTCTACGTCGCTGACCTGCTGGGCGACGAGCAGCTGCTGGAGAAGCTGGTCAAGACGTGCGAGTCAAAGATCAACGGGGAGACGGCTGAGCTGCTGATGCCTTACCTTGAAAACAAGGAGTTCCGTAACGCCAGCGCCAAGGTCTCGTCAAACCTCCTCCTGCTCGTCTCCTCCTGGGTCCAGAACCTTGTGAGGTACTACCAGACCATCGACAGGAGCTCGGTGAAGAAGTCGAGGATCGCGTCCTTGGAAGAGTCCGTGGAGGTGCTGGGAATGCAAGTGAAGGAGATCCAGTCGGAGTTGGATGTGGTACAGGAGGAGCTCGACAAGTTTCAAGACAACTTCGACGACTCGCTCAAAAACAAGCAGGCGGTGGAGAAGGACGAGAGCACCTTACAACAGAAGCTATCCATCTCCACCTCCCTCCTCACGAACCTCCAGCGCGAGAGGATACAGTGGATGAATGACCTGGAGGAACGCAAGAACGAGATGAAGAAGCTCGCGGGGGACTGCGGCATCGCCTCTGCCATGATGGTGTACCTGGGGCCCTTCAGCAAGGACGCCAGGACCGAGATCATGCAGTCACTTTCTTCCTGGTGCCACGAGTGTGAGATCGAGTTCTCCCACGAGCTTCACGTCCCCAAGTTCTTCACCACCCAGAACGAAATCAGCTCCTGGTTCCTCCAGGGCCTCCCCTGCGATGAGTTCTCCATCCAGAACGGCATCTTGACCTGGTACTGCAGCAAGCCGCCTGTCCTCATTGACCCACAGGAGCAGTGCGTCACGTGGCTGAGAGGGAAGCTCGACCCTCTCGTCGTCCATGGGGCCGCGTACGAGCACTCCATGCATAAGATCGAGAGCTCCGTCGTGCTGGGACGGGAGCTGGTCATCGTCGGGATGGAGGTTGACTTTCCCCGGAGCCTCCTCTCCCTCGTTCAGAACTTGAACGCGTACAAGAGGACCTCGGAGACCAAGTGCAGCCTGCTGGGCAAGGAGGTGGACATTCACAGCAACTTCCGGCTGTTCCTAGTCACGAACGCGAAGAGAGCAGGTTTCAAACCTCACATGTTTGACAAAGGAACAGTCATCGACTTCTCCATCACGTTCAGCGGCCTAGAGGATCAGATCCTCAACACGGTGCTGCGGGAGGAGAACGCGACCCTGTACCAGGAGAAGTTCCAGCTCATGCGCAGGATCAACGACTTGCGGGAGAAGGTCGACGAGATGGACGAGGTGCTTGTGGAGGAGATCTCAAGACTCGACGGCAACCTCCTCGACGACCAGCCCTTCATGCAGAGCCTGGAGCTCAAGATAGCGACTCTGCACGAGACGGAGGAGGAGCTCAGCGCGGCTGAGGAGCAGGAGGCGGACGTGACCTCCAAGTGCGACGAGTATCGCTCGTTGGCGACCAGGGGAGCACACCTCTACACGGCAGTCTCTGACATGGCCGAGGTGAACCCCAGCTATGTCACCAACTGCAGCATCTTCCACCAGGTCTTCACCTCCGCGTTCCCTGAGCGGGAGCGGATCATGTCGTTTGACAGCAGGCTCTCGTCCCTCCTGCAGCATTCGACGGACGCGGTGACGAGCTTCTTCTCGGGGGGGTACGACAGCAAGCACCGCATGATCTTCATGCTCCTAGTCGCCCTCAAGATCGCCCTAGGGGAGCAGGAGCATGCCGAGCCCGACTACCTCCTCTGCCTCGCTGGCTGCGGGTCGAGCCTGGAGATCTCGCTGGGACCCAAGAAGCACGCGGCCTGGATCTCCGACGCCGCCTGGCTCAATTGCGTCTTCCTCTCCGAGCGGATCCCCAAGTTCCAGAACCTGCTGGAGTCGCTGCACAAGAGTAACAGCGCGTGGAAGGGCTGGTACGAGAAGGAGAGCCCCGAGACCGACGCGTCTGTTGACCCCGAGCTGGACCTCCTGCACCGGCTGCTGCTCGTGCGAGCGATGCGGGAGGACAGGCTGTGGTTCGCTTGCGACCTCTTCGTCCGTCAGACCGTCGGAGCGTCGAGAAGCCGAGGGTTCACGGAGCTGAACCTGGAGGAGAGCGTGCGGTACACCTCCCCGCGCACTCCCATCCTCCTTTTCACCGCCAAGCACGAGGACAGCATCGACCTGGCGACGGAGTTTTCGCGATCCAAGGGGAGGAGCCTCAACGTCCACGCGTTCGGGGAGGAGGAGCTGGGGGAGGCTGAGGGGCAGATCAAGCAAGCTGCCTCCAGGAGCTCCTGGCTGCTGCTGCATCACTGCGACAGCAACCAGCCTCTCATGCGCTTAGTCGAGACCTTCCTCCTCTCCTCCGAGGGCTCCTGGGACCCTGACTTCCGCCTGTGGCTCACGGTTTCGGAGAGGTCGCGGGTACCCCAAGAGCTCGCCCGCATCTCCGTCAAGGTCTCTCGGGACAGGCCCAAGTCCATCAGGGACTCGATCTCCCTCTTCCGGCCCTCCTCCCTCCCCCTCGGCCCCTCATCGACGGAGGGAAGCAGGAGAGTCTGGGACACGTTCAAGACCCGCTGGCTGCTCTGCTTCGCGATTCTCCAGCAGAGAGGAAAGTTCTCCTCCTCCTCGTGGAACTCTCAGCTGGACCTGGAAGCGACCGACTGGAAGTACTCCAGCAGCGTGCTGGAGGACTTTTGCAGCTCCTTCCAGGACAGGTACGGGCTGAGGGAGATGGTGATGAGGATGAAGGAGCTGGTGGAGCAGCACCTGGTCGGGTCGAAGCAGCAGGACGAGGTCGATCGCAAGGTGCTGGCGACTTACCTGGACAGGTTCCTCGTGGAGAACTTGAGCAGCCAGCAGGTAGCCGAACTCCTCCAGGACCCCGCGAGCTCTGAGGTGCCCTTCGACCATATGCTCGACCTCCTCCCTCCCTCCGACGCTGCTGCTCAGTTCGGACTCTCCTCCTACCACGACCAGGCGTACAGGGTGAAGCTCGCAGACCAGCTCATGGAGGGGATGAAGCTGCTGACAACGCCAGCGGAGGAGGAGCAGGACGTGGAGGAGGTGGAGGAGGTGGTCAGGGACATCGCAACCAACATGCTCGCCAAGGTTCCTTCCCCGTGGAACACGGAGCAGGTGAAGCTCAGCACCAAGGGCAAGTTCAGCCGAGCTGCTATCACCATCTTCTTCAACCAAGAGATCGAGAGGATGCAGCGGGTGCTGAAGCTCGTCAGAAACACCCTCCAGGCCCTCCTGCTCTCTATGTCCGGCACTCAGCAGCGGAACGACCGGACCCGCGTCCTGCTCAACACGCTCTTCGAGGCCATGGTCCCTGCTGAGTGGCTGGACGTCTCCTGGAACGTGACGTCACTGGGCGAGTGGATAGCGAACCTGATGCAGCGTCACGATCACCTGGCCAAGTGGATGGCCAAGAAGTCCTCGAACCAGTACTGGCTGGGCGGCATGTTCAACCCCCACGGCTTCCTACTTGCCATCAAGCAGGAGGCGGTGAAGAAGAACTTGTCCGCCGGCTGGTCTCTCGAGGATCTCTCCTTCGACATCCAGCCTGCGAGCGCTGCGAGCAAGCGGGAGACGCACGGGCAGGAGCAGGAGTTGTCGCAGGGGAACGCGGTCATCCTGTATGGCCTCTTCCTCGAAGGAGCCTCGTGGTCCCAGCGAGAGAGCGGCAGGCTCGTCGACCCTCCAGCTCGCACCCAGCTCAGCGACTTCCCTCGCCTCCTCCTCTCCGTCTTCCGCGAAGTCTCCACCAGCGATCCCAGCGCCGACCCCAGCTCGCACGCGGGGATCCGAGACACCCACGGTGTCATCTACATGTGCCCCTGCTACACCGGGCTGAGAAGGAGCAGGGAAAGCCTCCTCTTCATGGTTCCCATCTACACCGAAGAGCCTGCCATGGTCGCCCGTTGGACCCTCCGAAAGGTCGCGCTCGTGGCGAACAAGTTTTAATCCGCCCGTTAGCCTTAAACTTCTACTGCTCGTACTTGAGAGCTTATGCTGGTCTTGAAAATTTCCTTCTACTCCTCCTCTTCTGCTGCAGCTCCTCCTCCTCCTCCTCCTCCTCCTCCTCCTCTCATCTCCCGTAGCTATCCCTCCTCCTCCTCCTCCTCCTCCTCCTCCTCCGCCTCGTCCTGCTGCTGCTGATCTCTTGCTTCCACCTCCTCCTATCTCTGAATGCTCCAGTTCGACCCGACCTTCGACAATTTTCCGATCACCCCCTGCAAGGACAGCTGACTTTTCAGCTGTGCGTCCCGAGCTGACGACAAGCTGGAGTCCAGCTGGGAGGAGTTGCCGGCGGTTGCAAGGGTATTGATGTCCTCGATGCGGACGGCAGGCTGAAGGGAAGCAGCGCGCGCGAGGTCTCTGGCGACCACGGGGATGAGTCGATGCCCTACGTCGGAGGAGGGAGCCTGGTCGCTGTTTCCGCTGGAGGAGGGAGGATGAGTAGGCTGCTTCTGGTCCCCTCCTGCTCCTCCTGCTCCTCCTCCCTCAACAAACTTGAGCAGCTGCGCAAGGGAGACCCCGTGCTCTACCGTCGAAGGCTGGGAAGACGCCGCCTCGCTTCCTCCCTCTGCCTTGCCCCTGTCCTGCTGCAGCAGCTTCATGTTGTGGATCTTGCTCTTGTTCTCTGCTATCCATTGACCCACTGCATCCCAGCCATGCTCCCCCAGCGCCCCGTTAGAATCTTTGTACCCATCTAGCAGTACATCGTAGTGCCGTGCCCGAGCCGGGGCAGATGCTACGTGCGCAGCGGGAGCTCTAGAGCTCCTTGAGGCTCCGTTGCTCTTGTTCTTCTCCAGCGTCTTCTCTATGGAGCCGAGGACGAAGGAGAGGTACTCCACCGCTTCCGCCAGCTCCCCCAGCTCAGACGAGTCGTGCTGCTTTCCCAGCTCAGACGAGTCGTGCTGCTCTCCCAGCTCCCCGAAGGATCTCGAGCTCCTTGTTGAGAACTCCAGCTGCGCCCCAGCTCGAAACCTGCTGGAAGTTTGCGAAGTCTCCCTCTTGTTCATGTCCGGGGTCACCTCATGCTGGTCTGATGCTGGGCTGGTGCTGGGAAGTGTGAAGTCGGAGCTGATCCTTCCATCTCCCCCTCCTCCTCCCTGCGGCTTGCCGGGAGGCGTGATGGCGGAAGCGGATGGAGCTGTTCCTGCTATAGCTACTCCTGCAACGGAAGGAGAGGAGGGAGGGGAGAGAGACTTGGAGGAGAAGCCGGCGCGGTTGATCGCCTTGCGGAAGTCTCGGAGGACGCGGACAGAAGATTCCTGCTCTCTGAGCTTGATGTTATTCTGCCGCATCACCTGCTTCACAATTTCCTTCCATCGGATAATCGCCACCGTCGCGTTGGGGTCACTGAAGTCGCGCTCCACGTCCAGACTTATCCTCCGTTGCTTATCCACCTCCATCTCCATGTCTCCCCCGAACTGCTTCAGGATACGGTCGAACTTGACGGTCGAGATGAACATGCATGTCACTGGAGCCACTGACCACAGCTCGATCTTGGGCTTCACTCCATCCTTGACAAGCAGCATGTCCTCGCCGAAGGAGTTCCCGGGGTGCAGCGTGGAGAGCGTGCGGCCGTTGGAGAGGACCATGATGGCGGTGCCGGTGACGACGAGGTAGAGTCCTTCGTGGTACTTGTCATTGTTTGCCTTGAAGATCGGGACGAGCTCGGGGAACGTCAGCTGGCTCATCGCGTCCCAGATCTGGATGACGAATCGCTCGATCGCCTCGCTCTGGAGGTTGGCGAAGAGAGGTATGCCCATGAGCAGCGACTCGTGCAGCTTGACCCGAAGCTCGAACGCCATGGAGCTCGGGAGGACCCGGACAAGGTCATGCTCGTTGCGGAAGGTCACCGAGGTCTCATGCTTGAACCTCACCCAGCTGAGAACTCTTTTCTGCAGATCAGCAGGCACGTCCTTCTCCCTCAGGTAGTCCGTCACGCGGTTGAGGAGCGAGGAGAGGTCCCGGGCCTGCTGATTCATCTGCATGACAGCATCCTGGATCTCTGCTAGAAGAGCGCCGAAGGCGAGGGCTGCTATGTACGCCAGGACGATACAAATGATCCGCTCCTCGGAGTTAGTGGCAGAGATGTCTCCGAAGCCGATGGTGCTGAAGATGGTGACCACGAAGTAGGTGGCTATGACGTACTTGTCGAGCAGGCACGGGCTCGAGAAGTAGTGGTCGCCGTTGCACGTGAAGACTCCGTTGTCCTCGAGGAAGAGAAGGACATCCTCGTAGCTGTTGGAGTGCTCCTTCACCAGCCAGAACATGGAGGCGGAAGCGTGCTCGATGAGGGCGATGACGAGTAGAACTTTGAGGATGCGGGTGATGTTGGAAGGCAGGCGAAACGATCGAAGAATCTTGGAGATGATACCCGAAGTCGGGACATCGCTCTCGAGCATGGAGATCGCTCTGAAGGTCCTCAGAATCTTGAGCAGCCTGACGGGCTTCAGCATCCTAACAAGCCTGAACGACTGATCCCCTCCTGTCCCCCCTCGCTCACAGGCTTTAAGGGTGGCGAGCTGCATCCAAGTCAGACAGGCATGGAGGAGGCGGAGGAAGAGAGAAGAGATCACCTCCACGTAGGAGGCAGGGATCGAAGTGATGAGGTCGAAGAAGAGACTCCGCTGTACATACGACAGCAACACTCTGCCCAAGTCGTCGACATACTCGTTGTGGATGAAAGTGCCCGTTACAAAGTTCAGCAAGATCTCCAACAGGAAGAACGAGTCCACAAACACGTCAAAGTACAAGGTCGGCGTCTTCACGCACGAGTCTGCCGTCCAGAAGAAGCCGGCGGCAAACGCGCTGCCAACCGCGGAGTAGAGCAGGAGGACAGAGGAAATAATAGATGTCCCCTTTGTAAAGGGAGAGAAAGGATGGATCAGCCGCGAGTGCGCATACGTCTCGCCCTCCTCCCCGATCCCAAACCATCTCGTTTGCCATTTCTGGTACTTGAAAGATTTCATCACCCGATGGAGAAGCGCATGGTGGAGTTGGTTCCCTTCCACAAGGTGGATCCTTCAAAGGGCCAGGAGTCACTGAAAGAAGTACCCGAGGAAGGCAGGAGCTACGTACCCGATGCTTGTGCTCTCACCGCCATTCCCATGCTGACTGACATCCTTGTCTTTGTTTGCCGCCCGAATCCGAGGCTTTTTGATCGCACCTCCTCGTCCCATCTTCTCAGATGCGATCAGGCGGTGATAGCGCAACTACAGACAGAGCACCGCTTCTTTGCTATCTCGAGGGTACACACATACACACGAGTAATTTGGCCTGCAATGAACCAAGTTAATCCAAAAATCTTCGTGTTTTCTATCATGGTAAACAGTTCCCTCTCATCAGAACAGTCTCGTGTGTTTCTCATTTCGATCAGATGCTTCTGTTCTCTCGCACTCCTAAACCAGCAATATCCTCATCTCCACCGTCTCTCTCTTCCTCTCGTCTTCTCTCTCCTGTCTCCTGTCTTCTCTCCTCTCCTCTCCTCTCCTCTCCTCTCCTCTCCTCTCCTCTCCTCTCCTCTCCTCTCTCACCTCCTCTCCTCTCCCCTCTCCTCTTTCCTCTCTCCTCTCCTTTCCTCTCTCGTCTCCTCTCCTCTCCTCTCTGTTCTCTGTTCTCTGTTCTCTGTTCTCTGCTCTCTGCTCTCTGCTCTCTGCTCTCTGCTCTCCTTTCCTCTCTCCTCTGCTCTCTCCTCTCTCCTCTCTTCTCTGCTCTCTCCTCTGCTCTCTGTTCTCTGCTCTCTGCTCTCCTCTCTCCTCTCTCCTCTCTTCTCTGCTCTCTCCTCTCTTCTCTCTTCTCTCTTCTCTCCTCTCTCTTCTCTCTCCTCTCCTCTCTCCTCTCTTCTCTTTCCTCACTTGGCTTCCTGCAGTAGTCAAATCACATATCTAGTCCTCAACGAACCGTCTCACTACCCCCCACCCCCCCTACCCCCATTCAGTACCCCTTTTATTTCTGTCTCGTTCCGTGGGTGAGCAAGGACAACCCCTACCCCTCAAAGTCAACTTTCTATTATGCTATTCCTACAGGGGGTGGGGTAGTGGTGAAAAAGTACCCACATGTTTTACCGTCATGTTCCTATGAAAAACCACCACCCCCACCCCCTCCACCCCCACCAACTTCTCAAGTTAATAAAGGACCCACCCCCCCTTTCCGACCGATAACAGGCCTGAATGGTCCCGACCTTACCACCCCCCCTTGTCCCCTCTAGTACATATCGAGGACCGGGTACCCAGCGGATCAACCGTGACCAGTCATTGTGGCAATGGCCCGGCAGTTTATCGCACAGGACTTGGCAGTGTAGTGTAGTTGCGGGTGCGACGATGGTGAACATGAACAAAGACTCGTCGAAACATGCCTACACTGTTGATGTGCGACTATGTTGCTCCCCGGGATGTGAGTCAAGCATGTCCATGGCCTCGATCGGTAGTCTGTTTGCGTTTACGATGGAAGACTGAACCCATGTGTGGGGGTTCATGTTTTACATGACTAAATGTTGTTCGTGTCTTTACTGAATGTTGTTTATGTCTTGACTGAAGATCATACAGAGATCTCAAACTCTGAGTAATCCAAAGAGGATATGTCAGATATTCCCCAAGCTTCTAAGTTGCTCGAGAAATCTTTTATCATTTCATGTGTTAGATTCCCTTGCACTTTGCAATGTAGCGATTGTTCTGATAAATCTCTCTGCCTTTTCTTTTATAGCACTACTATGAATAGGAGTAATATTCTATCGAATGCTTTGTTCCCTGACGATGTTGCATTTCGTAATCAGTGGAGAATTCAGTTCCTTCATGAACTCTCGATCCGCACAAGGAGGCGCCTTCCGATCTTTGGTCCTGTCTGATCATATTCTTCACCATCTCTGAGTTTATTGTGTTGTTGAGAGATAAACACGCCTTGTCCCTCACAGCTCCTGATCTGACTTCGACCTTTCCACCTTGACAAAGTACATCCATGCGTTGGCTGACAGGGTCTTGGTGAGTTAGTTCAGGTGCAGCAGCGTGCGATAGGACATGGTTGAACCATGTTGTAGTGCTGCAGAGGTAGGAGGCGACTTGTGCTCGAGAGTTTACTTCTTGTTCTCTTCTTTGATGGGGTTGTAGAATTGTTCCACCTCTCCCTTCTCAATCCTCTCCAAAAATCCAGCCCAGTCCTCTTGCATCACTATGATCCGACCCTCCTCCTCATCTTCGTTTCCTCGCCTGCCGTTTGCTCCGTCAGGAACCTTTCCTCCTCCTCCATCACCAACTCCTCCCTCCTCCTCCCTCCCCTTCCTGCTACTCCACCAATGTTCTCCCTGCTGCTCTTCCTCCGTCTCACCCGTCAATGAACTTGTAGCGGATCCTCTTCGCATGCATCATCGTCTCCGTAGCCCTTCGGATCTGAAGCAGATGATGAGACAAAGATGCCCGAGGGCTGCAGGCGAGGAGGTAGGAAGGAGAGAGCAGAACAGACCTTGTTGCTCTTCAGCGCGTATGTGAGCGGCTTGCCAGTGATGATGATGAGGTCCCTGCTGCCGTCGTTGCGGGGATGCCTGAGGATCCACTCGACGGCCGTGATCGCGTCGGCGACCGCCATACCATGAAGGTCAAGGACGAACTGCAGCGGGTGAGGAGGGCAGGAGGAGCCTTGAGATCTAACCTCTCTCTTCTTGATCTCGAGGCAGTTTGCGTAGGGAGCAATCGCGTTGGAGTGCGCCATCTTCACTGCGTCGTGAGCTTCACGTGCTAGGGGACATCAGGGTTCACCTGGAAAACGTCGACAGCGTCCCTGAACGCGTGCACTCCCACCAGGCGGGTGATGAGGGTGGTGATGTAAATCTGAACGAGGAAAGCTTGAGGGGCGGGAGCGACAGAAGTGCGAGGGGGAAAGGGAAATTCAAGGATAGGAATGCGAGTATGATGGTGACGATTATGATTATGATTATGATTATGATTATGATTATGATTATGATTATGATGATGATATGACTGATTACGATGAGAATGATTGTGACAATGATAATGATTGTGACAATGACGATGACAAGAATCATGACGAGGATAGGAGAAGCAGCATACCATGTCGGGGATGATAGCCTCTGCCCTCATCTGCTTATCAATCTCCTTGAGGACCTACAAGGGCAGTCAAGTACAACTGGTGCATCTTGACCTTCCCCCACCATCGGCGTGTTCGACCCCAAGTCAACTTGAGAGACGAGGATGGTGTATGTGATCCGATCAGGAGGCAGGCTAACTCCCTGCTCTTGCGCGGTCAGGAGATTTTCTTGTCTGCCCTGAACTCATCGCTCACCTCATCTGAGAGTGTCCTCAGCCTCTTCAGCAGGTCTGCCGCCTTCCCCTCCGTCGTGTAGCTGTATCATCACCGAGTCAGGGGAGGGGATGCATGGACACAGCAAGAGAGGTCAGGAAGGGAAGCACACAAGGAACGCGAGTGAGTCAGTGAGAGGAGAGAGGGAGAGGAGGGAGAGGAGGGAGGGATGGAGGAAGAGGAGGGAGGGAGGGAGGGAGAGGAGGGAGGAAGAGAGAGGATGGAGGAAGAGGAGGGAGGGAGGGAGGGAGGAAGAGAGAGGATGGAGGAAGAGGAGGGAGGGAGGGAGGGAGGGGAGAGAAGGAGGACGCTTCTCAGGCTCACAGGTAGCAGCCGTTGAGAGTTGCGTTGAAGGCATCCAGCACATTCTTCTTCGATATTGATATCTTTCTCTCACCCTCCTCGCCTTGATTCATGAACCACCTCCTCTGCTCGCACATCTTCTCTAGATATTTCTCGGCTTCTTCTACCTGCCCCGAGCGAGCAAACGCGTCGATTATGACGGAGTAACACCTGCCGTCCAGCTGGAAAACATTCGATCACAATGATTGCTTTCTTTCATCATCATCATCATCATCATCATCATCATGACCATGACCATCATCATCACCACCACCACCATCACCACCCATTTCACTTTCACCATCACAACCACCATCATAGACGTCATCATCGTGATCATCAACACATCATCTTCCATTTCCCCCTCCTCCGCTATTTTCTCTCCCATGGCTCACCCGCAGGTTGCTCGTTTTCAGTTCCTCGATGTAGGATACTGCCTCCTTGAGCATCCCTCTCTTGTTATACGCCTCGATCAAGATAGTGTACGTGGTGCAGTCCGTTACCTGCCATCAACACAGACACGTGAGCTGGAGAGAGTTCCCTGTTGAAATGCGCGAGGAGAGCAAACACAACAAACTTCTCACCCATTTGTTCTCCTGGATCTGTTTGTAGAGGGCGGCAAAATCTTCCAACGACGAGATCTTGTCCGTCACCGACAACATCGCGTTCACCATCACGTGGTCCGGTTTGTGGCCCTCTTCCAAGAAGCTGTTCCACAGCTCCTTGACCTTCTCTACGTCTCCGCTCCTCCCGTACAGATCCACCAGGTTGGTGAAGATGGGAGGCACGAAAAGGAACCCGTTAGCTGCTACCTCCTCTACCAGCTTCTCCGCTCTTGCCATGTCCATCCGCTTTGCGCAGGCATCGATGAGGCTCGAGTAGATCACCTCATTCGTCTTCAGCCCCTGCTCCTTCATCCTCCTCCATGCTGAGAACACGTCTTCTAGCCGACCATGCTTGTGGTACCCGTCGATCAAGATGCCATGCGTCACCTCGTTCGGCTCGACACCTTTGGCGCGCATGGCAGTGAAAAGCTTCTCTGCCGCGCTCATGTTGCCGGCCTTTACTTCGCTCTTGATCATGGAGGTGTAGGTCACGACGTCGGGCGTCAGCTCCATCTTGTTTAGGGTCTCCCAGAGCTCGCGGCTCTCCCTGATTAACCTGCTGGAGGAGATCATGAGGTTGAAGTGAAAGATGTTGGCAGTCTTGTTGGCCAGCATGCCCCTGAAGAACTTCTTCTTCTCCTCCCCCTTCAGATCTCGGAGGGTCGCGAACAGTTTTCGTTCCTCCACCTCCTTGCTCCATTTCCGGTTCTTTGCTTCATTCGACGATGCCTCCTCTGCAGAAGGCAGGGACGCCATCGAGCGCGTCCTTACCGCCTGCATTCTTCTTCCCTGCACTCCTGGCGCCGCTGCATGGACGGTCTTCCATGACCAGTAGAGCGCCTGACTGCTGCGACGCAGCAGCATGGAGGACTGCATGCTCGGAGGACGGGGCAGGCAGGGTCACATGCGGACGCTTTCGGGGGTACTAAAAGTTCCTTTATGTCGTTTTCCTAGTAACTGCTGCTGCCCTCTCAGTCTTGCTAATGGCCCTAAAAATAAAACTTGAATGCAGCCGCGCCGCGAGCGCCGGGCGCACTGGGCCGGCCCGCTGAGTGCCCGGGCCCGGCTCGCATGGGCCCCCAGGACCGTGACTGCAGGCTGATTACTTTGCCAAGTTGGCCTAATGCCGCAGTGCGGCGGAGTCGATCGATCAGACAGACTCACTTCTTGGATCGGATGAGTCGATGACACGGTCAGTGATAGTCAGCCTGTGAGACTCACACTCGCCACTGGGCCGCATGACTCTGTGATAACCGGGCGCTCAGCCGCTACCGTCGGAGACTCTGATCGGACCGTACGGCCCGCCGCCCGCCGCCGCTCGGCAGGTCCGGAGCCGCCCTGGCACGGTGGGACGCCGGGAAAGAGGAGTGGAAGTCACTCAGTTTACAGCACAAGGAGTTGCTGCTGGCTCAGGCGGGCTGCAGCAGGAGACTCTCGACAAACTTGTTGCCTTTGCTCGCCATCTCGTCGCGCATCTGCCGGACCCTGAGGCAAGCCTGCAGCCGCGAGTCAGTCAGCAGCTGGGCAGCAGCTGGGGCCTCACCTCGGAGGGGGCGAGTGAGTCGAAGGGGAGAGCTGAGAAATCCTGCGAAGTGTCAGACGGGGAGGAGGATGAGGAGAGCTGAAGGAGAGCTGGAGGAACCTTGAGAAACTGCAGGATCAGCCTCGAACCCTCCTCGTGATCGCCCTGCTCGCCTACAGCAAGACTTACTGTGCTGTCTCCCCTTCCTCCACCTGCCGCTCACCTGCCGCCTCGTCCGTCTTGCGTTTCTTAGAGGCTGGTTCCCCAACAGCGTCCTCGTTCTGGGGTGCGTGCTCGTCAGCACTGGATGGAGTGAGGGAAGGTAAGGAGGAGAGTAGGAGGGGAGGGGAGAAGGGAGGAGAGAAGAGAAGATAGAAAGAGAGGAAAGTAGGATGAGAGGAGAAGGGGAGAGAAGAGGAGGGGAGGAAGCGAATGACAAGGCGCTCACAGAGGACGAGGCGTTTCCAAACATCTCCAGCTGCTCTGCCTTCTGCCTCGCCATCTCCACCACGTGCTCGGGGAATTTAGCCAGCTCTGCAACGTGAATGCCAAAGCTCTGATCGCACGCGCCCTTCCGGACCTGGAGGGGACAGCAGATGGCAGAAGTAAGTAGGAGGGGAAGGGGGCGCGTAAAGAGAGTGATAGATGGGTGAAAAGAGCAAGAGGAGGGAAGGAGAGAGGAGCAGAGGAGAGGATCAGAGGAGAGGAGAAGCAAGAGGGAGGAGAAGGAGAGCAGAGGACTTGTCAGGGCTCCTGTGTTGATAATGAGGAGACAGCTTCACCTGGTAGAGCATGGTGAGCTTTCCGTCCGCCACGTGGGCAGTCACGTGGCGGTTGGTGACGGCCTCGGCCTTGCCCTCGAGCTCCGTCAGCTCGTGGAAGTGAGTGGCGAAGAGACAGGGAGCTCGAATTGAGCTGGCGATGTGCTCGGCTATGGCCCACGCCAGGCCGAAGCCGTCGTAGGTTGACGTTCCCCTTCCCAGCTCGTCGATGATGATGAGCGACTTGTCGGTGGCTGAGCTGAGGATGGAGGAGGTGTCGAGCATCTCCTGCATGAAGGTACTCACTCCCTTCAGCTGATTGTCTCCTGCTCCGATCCTCGCGTGGATCGAGTGGCAGATGGAGATCTCGGCAGAGGAGCAGGGGACGAAACTGCCGATCTGAGCCATGAGCACGATCACACCCGCCTGACGGATGTACGTGCTCTTTCCTCCCATGTTGGGCCCCGTGATGATCTGCAACCTGCTGCTGCTTCTGAGCAGTTCGATGTCGTTGGGGATGAAGGAGACGTCGTCCATGACCTCCACGCACGGGTGCCGCGACTCCTTGAGGATCAGGTCGCCTTGACCTGCTGGGGAGAGGAGGGGACGAACGTACTGCGTTGGAGCGTTGGAGGCCACGTGGGCGAGGGAGACAAGGACATCAATCTCTGCTATGACCTCGCTCAAGCTCTCGACAGCTGGGGCGTAGGTGGAGATGACTTCCACCACCTTCTCCACCAGGGACGTCTGGATCTCCGAGTAGCTATCGTCTGCTTCCTTGTATCTGCCAATAGAGCGTAAGGAGGGGAGAGAAGGGAAGGGGAGAAGTCCAAAGAGTGAGGAGGGTGGGGGCGGAGGGGAAGTCGTGAGAAAGGGAAGCATGGTGGAGTGAAGCAGTAGGAATGGAAAAGGAGAGTGGAAGGAAATGATTTCGGGAAGTGCACTTCACCTTTCAGACAAGGGACGAAGTCCTGTGCTAGTGAACTTCACTCCGTCCTTCCTTGTCTCCAGCACACTGAAAGATCCGCACTTCCCTCGCAGAACCTTTTCATCTTTGCGCGTTATCCTGCAGAGCAAACGAGGAAAATGTCGTCAGAGTTCCTTCTGCATGTCCTACATTCGTCACTGAACCAAAACATTGATTCCTTTCCCCGCTGTTATCCCTCCAGCTATCTTTCTTGTTTTCCCTCTCCTATTGCCCCCCTTTTCCTTCCCCTCCATGTCTTCCCTTCATCTCCGCTCTGCTCGCACCTGAAGATGTAAATCTTGTCCTTGTTCCTCTCAAGCTTCACCTTCTCCTCCCCTAGTCCCAACTTGTTCGCGGCTTTCTTCCTCTCACTGCAGGAAGAATCAACAAAGATCTCATGCTGTATGTCAGTCCTCTTGCCTTTCAATGTCTCTTCGAAGCTCCTCCTTCCTCTCCGCCAGACGCTGGAGATCAGGACTGCTCCATGAAATGTGAGATAAAACATCCATCGCTCCCTCTCTCCCCCGCTATCCTCGAATTCTTCCCGATCTCTCCCTTTTCTGCTCTCTTGCCTGTAGTTAGGGTTGATGCGATACTCGTGGTTGTCGATCCCCTCGAGGTCGAGGGATTGTTCTACAAGCCTCTCATACTGCGAGGAGAAGGTATGAATCGAGAGCGTGAGAGAACAAGATGAGAGTCGAATAGAAGAGTTTTGGTTGACCAGTTACAAGTGACCGAGTCAGAAAAGAAGAATCAAAGGGAAAGAGAGCCTGGCAGGAGCAACGGTACAATCATGAATCACCTGCTTGAAGTCGTCCTCCAGAGATTTCAGAGGATCCACCATCTTCTCTTTCATTAGCGATCCTTTGCTTGTCTCGCAGTCCTCTAGAGCCTGCTGGGCTCTCAGTTGAGCGAGTAAAAGCCTCTTGCCTTGCCTGCCGCATGCTGGGGATCTGTTGGACGAACTGGTAGAGCCGCCAAGCATCCATGAGAGTCGCTTTGGACTGCTTCTGCTCGCCATGGTGAGGGGGAGCGGAAGGAAGAAGGAAAGAGGAGTCGAGCAAAGAGGAACAACAAGACTGAGCAGGAGAGGGGGAGGAGATTGAGGGCTGGAGGGACAGTTAGGATATAACCTGAAACTTTCTGGCGAGTCGAGCAAGGTCAGGAACATGTCGCAAGTAGATCTCCTGCATGGACTGTCGGAGCTGTTTTCATTTGTCATCAGCGCCCTGGACTTCCCTCACCTCGCTTCCAATCACCTGAACGTCGTTGACAAATGTCTCAACCAGATCCAGACGCGTCTCGATCTCCTGCGGGTCAAGGAGCGGCTGTACCAAGGAGCATGAGACAGAAGTCGGTCCTACACAACACCAAGGACCTGCTTGATCCATCGAAGAAGAAGTCTAGAGCCGATATGCGTCTGCGATGCATGTTGGAAGAGAAGCGGGCATGGGGCTGTGTGGAAAGAAGCAGAAAGAGCAAACACGAAGAAGGAAGAGGAGAGAGACGAGCAAGGTGTGAGGGGAGCTCAAAAACCTTGCACTTGTTTAGCAGCGTGTAGACAGACATGTTTCTGTTTCCATCTTGCGCCTACACAAATATGACTTCAAAGCATCTCCAAAAAGTGTTGAAGTGTGTGAAAGTTCACCTGGGGGAGGAGATTGAGCGCTCTGACAGCCGCCTGAAGGGAAGGAGAAAAGAGGCAGAAACCAAGGGAGAGCAAGGGAACGGAGAAGAATTAAAAGAAAACGAAACAGTCAGCGTTCCACCACCACAACCTCATCCTTCTCTACCTTGTCGAGTTTCATGTAGCGGTCCAATTTCAACTCCTGCAGTTTGAACTTCCCTGGTAGCTCAGTCAGTGGGAGAGTGCAGGTGGAGGAGAAAGCTTGCCATGCAGACTCTCATCGCTCAGGAGGTCGAGGTACCTAATCAGACAAGCAGCCGACGACAACGCGTTCTCGTCTTCCATCTTGTAACAGCAATCAGGTCTGCAGCAAGGCAAGTGCAATCAATAGCACGTTTATGAGCTTGCAGCTCTCTGGCCCGAGCAATCTGTTAAGGTCTTGATTGATGTCCTTGGTGCTGTTTCCCTCGTTACCATTGCAACCATGGAAAGTTCAACAGTCACGACAACCTGAAGTCTCGAGACTTTCTCTCAGTCAGCACGACATCGCATCGGTCGAAGATCTGAAATCATTGGATAAGGCAAGCTCAGTAAATCTCTCTGGCTCGTCGCTCCAACCTCTCGTAACTTCTTCCCCTCCACAGGTGATCTCATCTACATTCAAATCATCAGATCGCTCCAGCTGCTTGCGACCCTCTCAACCTTGTCCTCTGCAGCAACACATTCTTTCGTCCCCAGTCGTACAAGGGCGGCCTGCCAGCCAGACGCCGTCAGCGCATCATCGGAGTCAACCGAGCCCACCTCAAGGTTGGTGAGCTGATCCCCATCGAGGAACTCGCAAACTCCGATAATCTGTCAACGGGAGTGAACGATGAGGTCAGAGCAGGCGAACCGTCCGGTCAGCCACAGAGAGAGAGAGAGAGAGAGAGAGAGAGAGAGAGAGAGAGAGAGAGAGAGAGAGAGAGAGAGAGAGAGAGAGAGAGAGAGAGAGAGAGAGAGAGAGAGAGAGAGAGAGAGAGAGAGAGAGAGCATGTAAGGACAGGGGAGCGTCTTCAAACCTTGAGGGTGTTGTCGCAGTAAGCAAGTCCAACTCGCCAACCGGCTCCATCAGAGACAATCTTGAAGCCATTGTGTAAGGACGTCACATCACAATGGACAGACTACCTGAACGCAAACAACTGTCGGCGTCTCCTGCGTCTCCCCACAGGTATCAAAGACGATCTGCAAGCGAGCGTCAGCTAAGGACAACTTCCTCCCTCTTCACCTCCTCAAACTCCTCGAGGTTTCCGGGGGAGCCCTGTCGGATAATAGTCCATCCATTTTTCCCTCCTGCCAAGACGGATCACCCAGAGACTCCGGCGAATCTGGGTTACCCTTCACGTCTGCCCACACTTCAACGCGGTACTGCCGCTCTGTCAAGAGCTGTACAACGAAGCTGAAGGAAGGTGACGGTGAGAAACGGGAGGCGTCTTCTGCCATTGAACTGACCTGTTGAAGTTGGATGGAGACACTGCTACAGCAGGCAGCTCATTGTTCTTGCCGATGTGCTTCAGAACAGACATGGTGTGGAAGCACTCCTGCGCAAACATCCACCATCATCCCAACAAAGACAGACTGCAAGACAGCAACGACCTGAGCGATGTACACGGCATCCTCCCCATGACAGCTGTAGAACTCTCCTTCCTTCTTCCTGTAGAAGAAACGAATCGTCCTCGACGCCGGCTCTGGCATGTTCTTGAAAAAGGCAATGAAGCCTTGAGCCTCCCCCACATCTGTTCTCAATCAGAGTCATGTACATCCATACAGTTCAAGTTCCCCTGACCTAACTGCAGGCTGGGCTGAGACTGGGCTGCTTCCTCAGCGCCATCCATGTTCTCGTTGGTGTCCTCCTGATCATCATCGGCCGCCTCCACACTAGCCGGCTCCTTCTCTGCCTTGGTCCTCTTGCCTCGGAATGACATGCTTGATCCAGGATCTAATCAAAAGTCAATGTGATTGTTCAGAATGCTCGACTATCTCCTATTTCATCGTCGAGCACACCCTTCAGATCAGATTCCTGCAGCTCACTCGGAGTTCACGTACCCGATTCTTCCTGACTTTGATTTCTGCGTGCTGCCTCCAATTATCCACATCCCCTGCCTCTCTGTCTCCCTCCTCGTCTTCATGCTCAGAGGCTCTGCTCCCTTGTCTTCCCGGGCTCTCTGCATACCTGCTGCTGCTGCTGCTGCTGCTGCTGCTGCTGCTGCTGCTGCTGCTGCTGCTGCTGCTGCTGCTGCTGCTGCTGCTGCTGCTGCTGCTGCTGCTGCTGCTGCTGCTGCTGCTGCTGCTGCTGCTGCTGCTGCTCCCACCTATCCTCCCCTCTCCTCGGAACCGCCATGTTCGCATATTTCGCGCCAGTCTCTGCCCTTCTCACAAACTCGGGAATGGTGGCGGGGATGAGGGCTTTTCGGTCATAGCGGGGATGAGGTATTTATAAACACTTATAGTCAATCTTTGTCAACACAATATCTTCTATAGTCAATTTTTACCTAATGGCCGTAGAAAGTCTTCTAGTCAATCTATAATGTTGATACTGGGTCCTTTTGTCAAAGCAATAGGCCGTAGAAGTATTATAGTCAATGTATTTGTACTGCAAGAACCTGTCCATAGTCAATATTACTTATCCGAATAGATAGCCTTATAGTCAACAGTCTTATCTCACCACACCGCCCCTATAGTCAAGCAGCTACAAGATGGCGCGAGGAACGGAGGGGACGGAGGAGCTCGAGGCTGCGGCGAAGGAGCTCGAGGCCTCGCTCGTCGCTCTCAGCCCCCCCAACCATCCCTCCAAGGTCAACTCCTCCTCCTCCTCTCCCGCTCCCTCTCCCGCTCCCTCTCCCTCCCTTGTTCCTCTTCGATTTGTTTATAGCATCCCTTGCCCTCGCCCGCTGTCTTGGCTGCTCCTTGTCTCTCAGCGTCCTGTCCTGCTGGCTCGACCCCATGCCTGATGGGTCTAGATGTGCGGCTGGAGTCCGATGCCGAGGAGAGAGCATGGCAGCCCTGCCGAAGCCTCGTGCGCGTGATCAGTCCTCAAACCTCTCTAAACTGATGCGGGCGGGACGAGAGGAGGGAGAGGGGTGGGAGGCGGCAGGAGGTCTGACAGAGGAGCAGGCACAGCTGAAGAAAGCAGAGGCGCTGGCGGAGAAGGGGCAGGCGATCGCGCAGAGGACAGGACAGTGGCTGAAGAAGCGACTGAGCGACCGAAACCTGGACCGAGGGGAGCGAGCGGAACTGGAGAGCATCGGGAGGCGGTTTGAAGCGGCAGGAAGGAGGTTCGAGGAGGTGTCAAGGAAGGTGAGAGAGGGGAAGAGAAGACGGAGAGAGAGGGAGAGAAGGAGGAAGAAGACACAGACGCGACAGTGGGAAGGGTGTAAGGGGCTTGACGCAGGTGCTGGGAATATGCAAGCAAC